TGGGCAGGAGCGTCCCGGGGAGCCGGGGCCGGGAAGAGGCGAAGCCCCGGGGCCGGGGCCACCTTAACTTCCCAGCCGTGACGCCATCGGGGCGGTGGCCCGGGAGGGTTTAAGAAGCTGCTGCAGGCAGGAGCGGGCAGAAGGGAGGCAGCAAGGCAGGAGGGGACAGAGGGAGCGACGACGCCTGGCAGGATGGATGCGGGGCAGGTGACATCCACGAACGGGCTGAGGATGGTGGCCGCCAACAAGCTGGATGGCTGGATCGCGGAGGTCCTGCAGCCCAGCACAGCTTTCTGCAAGCAGGTGAAGGACACGGTGAGGCAGATCTGCGACTTCCTGAAGGAGGACTGCTTTGACACCGAAATCCGTGTCCTCAAGACCGTTAAGGTGAGCGCTGCCCGGCTCAGGGGCCAGCCGGCACCCCTGCTGCCACCCTTCCCTCTGTCCCGCTGCTCCAGCTCCTGCCCTGCCTCAGTTTCCCCTGACAGCTCCAGGAATGGTGACAGGCAGTCCCCATGCTGAGGGGCAGCGGCGCTGAGTGGGCAGGGTATCTCTCCGCAGGGCGGCTCGGCGGGCAAGGGCACAGCCCTGCGAAACAACTCCGATGCCGATGTGGTGCTCTTCCTCAGCTGCTTCTCCAGCTACCAGGACCAGAAGCAGGAGAGAAGGCGTATCCTGGAGTTAATCGAGAGGAGGCTGCATGCCTGCAGGCGGAGCCTGAGTTTCACGGTGAACATCACTGAGCCCCGGTACAAGGGTCCTGGCAATACGCCACGCTCCCTCAGCCTCACTCTCTGCTCCAGGGAGACCTCGGAGTCCATCGAGGCAGACATCCTGCCCGCCTACGACGCCTTGGGTAAGGGCTGTGAGCTGGCGTGGGGCTGGGCTGCGGTGTTAGCGCCAGGACGGCTCTCACCCTCCTTCTCACCCCACAGGCCAGGTGAACTGGGATGCCCCACCAGACGCAGGGGTGTATGTGAGGCTCCTGAATGCCAGCAGTGACCCTGGGGAGTTCTCCCCCTGCTTCACCGAGCTGCAGAAGAAGTTTGTGAAGCGTTACCCCGCCAAGCTGAAGAACCTCCTGCGCCTGGTCAAGCACTGGTACAAGGAGGTGAGGGGCTGCCTGGCTTCCCCGGCACCCGCTGGGTGCCCACCCCAGCCAGCTCTCACCCCAGTCCCCATCTTCTCCCTAGCTGCTGAAGCCACAGTACCCAACTGCAGACCTGCCCCCCAAGTATGCCCTGGAGCTGCTGACCATCTACGCCTGGGAAGAGGGCACAGGCTCCCACGAATCCTTCGTCATGGCCGAGGGCTTCCGTACCGTGCTGGAGCTGCTGTGCCAGCACCGGGAGATCTGCATCTACTGGGAGGTGTACTACTCCCTCCAGCACAGCCAGATCGGTGCCCATGTCAAGAAGCTGCTGCGCAGTCCCCGGTGAGGACCATGCCCGGTGAGGCCCGTGCCACCCGTCCCGTGGCACTGCCCGGGGCTGATGGCAGCGCCTGCCTTCTGCGTTTACAGCCCTGTCATCCTGGACCCTGCTGACCCCACGGGGATCCTGGGCCAAGGCAAGAATTGGGATCTGGTGGCACAGGTAGCTGCCCACTACCTTTCACTGCCCTGCGTCAATACCGCCCGGCCCTGGGATGTGCAGGTAAGGCTGCCTGCACCTGCGGGTGTCACACACACCCCTGCCCCCCGCCCCTGCCAGCTTTGCCCACCCACTTTTCTGTCCCCACAGCCAGCCCGGCCCGTGACTGTTGAGGTGAGGCAGCTGGCGGGCACCAGCCTGAGCAAGACCGTCAGCCCGGGCACCACCATCTGGCAGCTGAAGGAGGAGATTGAGAATGTGTGGGGCATCCCCCGGTATAGGCAGCGCCTGGCACAGCAGGAGCCGGGCAGGAGCGCTCTCATCCTGCAGGATGATGAGACCCTGGCCACCCACGGCATCTTCTACAGCACCACGTTAATGCTGCTGCAGACCGAGCCCCAGGCAATGGAGGTCTTTGTGAAGGACGACAAAAACCGGACCACCACCTACACAGTGAAGCCCACCGACACCGTCCGGCAGCTGAAGGAGCAGATCCACAGCCGGCAGGGCCCTTCTGCCGACCAGCAGCGCCTGACGTACGGCTCCAGGGAGCTGGAGGACCGGAACACGCTGGCACACTATGCCATCCAGCCCAGGAGCACCATCTTCATGCTCCTGCGGCTCCGGGGGGGCTCAGGCCCCCAGCACCCCTAGTTCCCTGCCTGCTCACCCTCCTGAACTTTGCCCCTGGCCCATGCCCCTGCACTCCCCCTGTTGCACTGGAAATAAATGCCTTGGTAGATCCTTGTGCTGCTCGCTGGGTTAGGGATGGGGCCAAGTGGCACAGGGGTAGTCAAGGGGGGACCCCACTGGGATGAGCGGGGACCTCAATGCCACCGGCTGCTGGGATGGCACAGGGACACATGGGTGCAGAGCAGCGGTGCTGTGCCTGGTGGGATCCAGGGTGCCAGCTGGACCTCGGGAAAAAAACAGCTCCATCCTCTGCCTGCAGCTGTCTCTCTGCCTGCTTCTGCCTGCAGCAGCTTTTAAGCCTTCCCGGGCCCCCAGCCCGATCACCACCAGGCAGCGAAGGCGGCCCCGGCCGCCCGGGGGGCTCCTATCCAGGGTGTCCCCTGGGTGCCCAGCTGGCCGCAGGCAGAGTGCCACCACGGGGACCCCGCGCCGGGCCCTGCCCGGGGGCTGGGGGTGCCCTGCCTGCACCAGCGCCTGCCTGTGCCCACGGCGGGGTCTCAAGCGTCCGGGCTGGGGCACGGCCAGCGCTGGGACAGGGCACCAGCTGGTGGCAAGGTGCCACCCCAGGCAACGGGACGCGGCCGCTGCCAGTGTCACCGGGGGCGCTGGTGGCACCGCAAGCAGCAGGAGGCAGCAGCCCCCGACGTCATCTCCCGTCACTGCCTTAACTGCTGGGCTGTTGGCACCGAGGAGTTTCGGTTTTCGTTTTCCAGAAACGAAAGC